TCAAGAGTTTGACGTTTAACAAATAATTTGTTGGACGATATACTATGACGAGAGATATATGTCCTATGTAATTCACCAAAGGATATTGGTGATATATACTGATTCTAGATAGTGATTGTTTTTATTTAGATATTAATTTTTATAAACCTTTCTAGTATCAAACGGTTCAATCTTTATGAAGAATAAGTTACCTTATGGGATTGAAGATATTTAATTTTTTAAGATTCAAATGTTTGATGTAGTTCAACGGAAACTATGTCAAGTTAGGTTTATATGTAATATGAAAAAAAATTTGATCTCTCTTGTAATGTTAGATTCTAAAAGTTTTGAATGGAGTTATAAGAGATAAGTGTTCGATGTGAAAGTACGTGATAAGATTATCATCAAATCGGATTAATAGAGCTCTTATATCATATGTCTTATAGGCTCATTTATCTATATTTGATGATCGTGATATTGATATAGAGTATGATGATGACATTGCATTGATCTTGGAAGAAGAAAAACCTTCTTTGTAGAGAGAAATTCAAGCATATGGAAATGAGCCTGTTTGAAATGCTATTGTGGAGCGTGAGATGTAATGTCTAATGGATATCAAGACTTGAGAGCCAATTAAACTTCCAAGAATCAAACTTTGATTGATTGCAAGAGGTTGTAAATCTTGAAGGTGAATAATGAGATTTACAAATTTATTATTCTTATATATATGTGTAAGACATGTGAAGAACTAATCCAATGTCAAAAGATACAAAAATCAACGGCAATCTTCACATAACATGAAAGATTTGAATAAGCCCAAGAAAATATTATGGATAATTACAAGGATCTAGAGTAAAAAAAAGCTATGGTAGAGTCAATGCAAGGAAGTTCAACGTGTGCTTGACATGTTTTACATGGCTTGCACTAGAGTTGATCTATTGGGGCAAAACATTTTTGCAACAACAATGCAAGTTTTGTATGAGAAGCAAAATTAGAGTTTACTTGCAATGATTTTTACTTTATCATGTTTTAGCTACAACTTAGTTCTAATTAGTTTTAGTGTAAAAATTATTTTAGGTAGGATTTTTTCTAGAACCTTTTGTTGAACAGTTACATAAATTATAGAGGTTATTATTTCCACTACATGAGTTAAAGGATTTGTTGTTAGTATAAACTCACATTCATTCAATATTTGATTTAAACTCAAGTTAGAGTTAAGATTGGGCTAATCCTAGTTAGTATTAATTCCAGTGATTTGCTACCATGCATATATAAGAAGACAAGACATAGCTTGCTTCGAGTAAGTTTTGTAAGTTCTTTCAATATAAATCTCATTTTTTTTGTACTTTGCAAAAAAGAACAAGACAAATCAAGTATATATTTTTTCTATGTTGATTTTTTTTCTCTTTTCTGTATTCAAGTATTCTTGAGTTTCCTATTACAATCTACTCGTACCACTTAAAAATATCATATAAGAACAAAGAATATCATTCTATGTAGCTTCCATCTTCAAATTTATTTTTTTATTTAAGATCAAATTTCTTTCTTCATCCCTAATGTTCTACAATCAACCTGACGTCAAAAATGCAAAAATTAATTCAAATATGCAATCATGATTGAAAAATTTAAGAAAGTTCAAGAGGATATTTTGGATGAATGTTTTTAAAAATTTGAATAAAAAAAACTCATGGTTTAATCAAGACAATTATATTTAATATTAGTATGATGGATTTAGCATAACATATTATGGAATTTTTTGTGAGCACATTTCAAAATTATCACAGCTTAATATTCGATCAATACCATTGAAAAAGAAAAGATGTTATCAGTTATTTTGAAAAAACTGATAGTCTCATGTATTTAATAATATGCACAAAATCTAATATTGCTTTAGTTATGTACGAATTAAGCATGCCAATGTCTTATCTGAGTGAATGCGTCGGATATTCATGAAATAGAAAAAAAATACCTTAAGTATATTAAAAATTATGATATTTTATGTGATGATTTTTTAAGAAACATCGAATCGTTGCTTGATTATTATTATAAACAATATTTAAATAAAAATTATCTACACCAATTATGTGTTTACATAATAGATGTGTTTATACAATATATGCAAGTCTGCTTCATCTAATGGGGCATCTATATTTCCTAAGTTAGCTTACTTTAGTTCCAACAGTAGAACTTTGTTTAGACAATGTATAAGTATGAGCTTTATTTAGCAATTAGAGTGCATAAAATGAAGCCATGTGCAATTGATGGGCAACAAATCTTTCGTCCAGTCCACACTAGGCCTTTATTCATGTTGTGAATCATCTTGTTTTAAAATACTTCTTTGGGATTTTTCCTCATGTTCAATATTACACTACTATTTTCTAGAACTAACAATAGCCCAATTTGATTTTGGTGATTATTAACAATCCATCACTGCGAAGTAAATCTAATTTGCCATCTGAAAAACACTCTATCTATGATACAACCCTTCATGTTATCTCTATAAAATCGGGCACCCTGATTTCTCTAAATCCATGAGCTCAAGATGCACCTAGGACATATATTTGAATCTTCGCAATAATCCTTGAGTAACAATTTTGGTTCTCTGCAAGTTCTTAATGTGTGAACTTAGTTACAATCAAGGATGCACTTGTTTTTTTTCAGAATAAATTATCAACATGCTTCATACTCAAAGATAAATCACTTGCAAGCTTAGAAATCATAGAACACTTCCCATTTCTCTCAATAAACAATCTCGCAATTTCCACGGATAAATCAAGGATATAAGTAGACGCAACCGCAGAGTTTTGTTTAGGTATTTTACGCATGTCAATAAAGTTCAATAAATGTACTTTATTGACATGCCGTAGCTCAATTCATGATGGAAGTTGCATATAAAGCCAAAGCAGACTCGACATAAATAACTGTTTGATTGAAGAGACTTGTCATTCATATGATATTTTTAAAACCATGAGGTTTTACATCTTCATTGTGATAGTTAAAGTGCATAACATATTATTGTAAATCAAGTTATGGTGATTAGAGTGAAACACATGGACATAATAAACTGTATCACTTTGTTAGATTTGTTTTTTTTTTATTAAGAACGTTAAAGTAGTTAAAGTTAAGTTCATCTCATGTGTTGACTCAACTTATTACTTTAGAGAAGTTCAAAAAACATTGTATCACTTTGCGGATTTAGATTACAATCACAAGTGAAGTTCACTAGTAAATAAGCAACGTGTGATTGAATACAAGGACCAAATATTAGTAACATTTTTAACCTAATTTGAAACTATTCAAACCAAAGAGAATGATTGTGTAGAAGGAATAGGAGAGAATCTGGTAAATAATTAATATGATGAAGCTAAATAATAAATTTCTATTATTTTGTACATTATTACGAACTTAATAATTCTAATCTTTTAGTTACAATATACAGTAAATCTTATTTGTTCCAAAATAAAATCACTTTGTACTTCATAGAATATACGTACTTTATACAAAGAACTTACCATAGATTTTTTGTTTAACGTGATTCTATGTTGAGTTGGGTAATGCACGGAAGAATAATCTTGTCTCCATGTTAAAGACGTTTTTCAAATCATACCCAATATGCATTGCAAACACGATTTTCATTGACCAACTCGCTCAAAATGCACATTGTTGCGTTGCTTCCATATCTGTTGCCATCCTTATCCATATGATGCAGAAACCTAAAGGGATTGCTCTTTGTGGAGAGACATTTTTGCTATCCTTGGGCAGCCTGGACTGTCACTTTGGAGACTTTGAATTTCTCTGTTGTGTCCTTGATGTTATGACCTCCGATCTCGTTACATTGCTGGTACGAGCTAGGCAGAGTGTGGGTGTACCTTACATGGAACTGCATGGAAGGGACAGCCTGTACTTTAAGTCTCAGGTAAGTATTTAACAGAGGTGTACTTTATATTAGGAGTTTTTTATACAAAAATAAAAGGGTTTGCTTTAACAAAAAAATTGTTTCGGTTTGCTTTAACAAAAATACTTTTTTCGGAGTTGTACTTTACCTAGGCTGTACTTTATACGGAGGTTCTACTGTAAATCTATTTCATCGAGTTCCTCTCGTACCCTTATCCCATATTACTAAATTATATTCATCCCCATATTGCGGCAAGCATCTTAGTAATCTTTTCCAATATTGATTTTCGAAAGCCTTCTACGACGGCAAGAGCTAAAGGGTTTTGGGTGTTTTTAAATAACTGTGTTTCATCCCTACAATGCGATATGGTATCCTGGTATCCTTTTTCGTTATGTTACTCTCACATCTTCCAAGTAAAAAGCCGGGGCCAAAAGCAAGTTTCTAAAGGGGGCAAGAATGATAACTGCAGAGCTTATGATAATTCACAAGGGAACTATTTTGATCTAGATTGTATGAACAAAAACAAATCACAGGAAACACGTGACCTTGACCGTCCTCTTTCGAGTTCGGATGAACTGTCGAACTTCGAACCTAAGATGAGAATATATGATTTGCCAGACAGGTTATCAATTATTAGGGTAAAAGTGTTAGGATCTTTTTTCCAATTGGAGGACATTCAAACACTTCTGATAGCAAAAGATTCTGCAGAGACGCAATTGTCCCGCAGGGTACCAGCCAGTAGAAGACAAGGCTGTATTTGTGCTCACTGGCAGTTCCTTCTTGCAGTACACCATTTCGCATAAATCCTTGATTTCCAAACTGTTAGTGGGAGGGGATTTGACCTCACTTCAGCACTTCGTACATCAATTGGCTTGAGAAACTCATTATAGGCATCTTAACCTGAATGAAGGCCTCGAATGTCATTTTCCCTGTGCCATTAGTATTGAATATAACCGATTAACAGGTGATAGGCAAGACTGATAGATACGCACGAGGGAGGGGCCTATCAGAGATATGACCCATTTCAGCTGTGAAGATCGTGTCCGAACATTCACTCGAATCAATCTGGCAGTAACATACGAAGTATGGGGTGAAAGACAAAAGATCCGAAAAAGGTGGTGCTTGGGCTTGTCAAATTCGTCACTCACGCGACATCATTAAATTACGCAGTTGAATTGCTAAAAAATATTTCAAAATTCGCAGGTGGCGGTCAAAACCAAGCCTTTCAACATCTTGTTTTCCTAGCTCATGGATGCAGTATTAGCATTGCAGAACTGGAGTTGTAGGGTTACACTCAGTAGCTTAATCGAGAGCTGTCTCCAACTTCTTTGGAGAAAAAAGAGGAATGTATGGATCTCTTCGCAGTTCAATAATCTGGACCAGTAAGGGGAGGGAGGAAAACTGTGGCACCCCCATTCCATGTCATCATGACACAAACGGACTCCCAACCTCATCTGAATCCGTGCATATGAAGAATTAAATATCTATGTTACAATGACTCTAGCAGCTTACAGTCCCATCAGCCTTTTCGCATGAATGACCTTACGCTTCTTCTGTGCTTGTCGCTTAGCAGACATTTTGATCTTTCTCTTCGCATTGCGCTCGGGATCCACCAGCACACTGATTTTTTGCGCAGTCTTTCTTTTATCCCTGTTCTCCTTCACCGATTCTCTAACCGAGTTATACACGTTGACGAACTTTCCAGTGCCTACAACTTCTCTCAGCTGATTCAAAACTTCGCTTCCCAGGCTCTTAACATCCTCTGCATAGAAGTAAATACAACAAACCATGCGAATGTGGTGAATAACCTGCAATCCCTTGGGGCACTTCGGGGAAAATCTCAACCTAACATCAACCTTATAACGTGTTAGATCAAACATTACTTTTGAGGCTTACCTGGCACAACTTTGGAAGCAGATCCTTCCGTGAGTTTGTAAAGCGGAACAAGCATTGACGGCAGGTAGCGCTCTACCTCAGCGACATCAAGCTTAGCTGCCATGGCCGCGTACCAGCGGAAGATGACCTTCGTCTAAGAGTTCAAAAGTAGAAAACACATCAAAATCACAGGAGTCAACATAGTGCATGTGACAGAACCATGTTTTGTCAACATGAAGATAGACTTTGAAATCACACATCTCTTTATGCGACTTGAGACTAAATCGCAAAAAAATATTTTGTAATGGCTTGAGACAGCTGGTTGTAACCGACGAAGAACAGGACGATCGAGAATGAGCGCATAAGGGGAATCCTCCAGATATTACGAAGTTGTATATTAGTAGATATAAGAAAGCCACAAAATAAGCCGTAAAATAGATACAAAATTTAAGATTTTACCTGCAGATTATGCACGCGGAGGGCAATTTTTTGAAGTTTCCTGAAAACCATAGAAAGTGCCTTGTTTGCTACACCATCCTCAACGGTTTGACCATTCGAGGATTTTACGCTGTTCTCCAATCCGCCATTTGTCAGGTTAGTGCCTATCACGTTCTTCGTTCCCCATCCTAGAAGAATTAAAGCCCTTGCAACACGGTCTTCGCTCTCCTTCTCGCCACAGCCCAGAAACCGTAGTTCTCCCTCAGCTGATGTGCCTTTCGATGGCTTGGAGACGTCTGGCGGCAACAATGGCAGCAAAGAACTCAAGGCTACAAGAATCCTCACCAAGGACTCCCCCATTGCATCATCAATAGCACCTGAGTCAAGCTGCTGGCAAAATGAACCGACCAAAAGGAGGAGCCAACTTGGATGCAAGAACGAGACATCGCTTTGATAGAGAGCTGCTGATCTTATGTCCTGGCTAGTTAATTCACCGCAGGCTGCAAAATATGTTTCCAACAAACGTCCGCAAACTTTTCGGACCCATAGATGCTGGTGGAGGAGCAGAGGACACACCAGCTCCCATATTTCCTGCAGGTCGAGAGAAAACAGGAAACTTAGATGGATACAAACACATTGACTTGGAGGCACTTCCAAGTAGACTTCAACAAATCAGTGCAAGGTTCCGGGAAACTCTTGGATCTCATGCTTTGACATCAAATCTGTTGACACTCTTGTAGGCCTGAAAATTGTAACTTAAGTTGCAGCTCGGCAGAGTCGACAGTACACTACAATGCAGGAGCAGGAGATCAACCATAGAGATTGAGACAATTAGATCGATGATTCAGGATAAACATTAGAAAAACGAAAATACACAGACGTGATGACCATGAACTCGAAGAAATGATACAACTTTAATGCAGTGAGACCAGCTCGGTGGATGCAACGGGGCCAGTGACGTTTCCCACCATCCTGAAGGCAAGCATCACTTGGCAATCACGCAGCGTGGGTGAAATAAATCGAGCGAGGTAACAGGAAAGTTCGCAACACGAAAATGCACCACAACACTACACGGCAAATGCCAAAGAGTAGGCATATATAGGCTGTCCGCACCCAAAAAGATGATGTATAGACTAAATGAGGTATTTAAGCTTCAAAGGTACCCAGATCTATTACGATCTTGCCAGGTGACAAAGCCTTCGTAAGATCACAGGACCTCGAGACTGCATCGCTAACTAGTACAGAAGACCACAAGGCCAACAAGAATTCAAAATACAATGAGGTATCTAGGTTCAGATACATCATATATAGGTTCATGAAAATTACCTTGCACTCTGGTTTGAAGATCATCTTTGGAAATTTCTGGAAAAACTTTTCCATCATTGTTAACGAAAAGTAAGCCTCCTGCCAAAACTGTGCTTTCCCTGATTCGTCTGCTTCACTGGCTTTAGTATCTAGCGAAGATAAAGCCAAAGATAGTATTTTTGTACACTGTGGGAAAATGACTTGTGAATGCTGCTCGAAAGTCGTACCGACTACCTCTATCATGAACCCAAGAACCTGCGTACCAGATAATTTTGTTGCGTTACCAGAAAGGAAAATGAGATTGATTAAATAAAAAGGACACATGAAACAAACGTTTTGAACCCGCATTGACGACAGATTCACGAAATTCGCAGAAATCTTGAAGCATCCATACATGACGAACAACATGCTTAGTTCTTAGAACTTCCAAAAACGTACACAAGTCAGGATGTACGACGTACCTGAGCTGCAGGACGCCAAAGCCTCTGATCGGCGCCTTTGTACCAGGAGAGCGCAAATAAAACAAATCTTTGTACATTGCGAGGTCCGACCCGTCCCATCAACACTTTCAAGATTGTCCCAATCATGGACCGTACTTGATTGGAATCGTCGTTGACCAGCCTCGTCACAAGAGGGAAAAACATGCTATCTGCTTGCTCCTCCACGACTGCATCAGGAAATTTTAAAATGATCGTATGCAGCATTTCAAGGGCGGCCTCTCTGCCACTTGTCTCCACATATCTGCAAGGAACATGAACATACAGTTATAGTTTCTTGGTCTAAGTTAGAATGCTTCCTATACATACATCTAAACACTAAAATGTCCGAATTCGGAGCCTCTAACAATCTCGTCAACATGGAAGCGAGAGGCGACGTTCTTCGAAGTATAACCTGTCGAATGTGGAACAAACCAAAATGAGAACACTAGACTTAGACCTGGAGATGGAAGTATTGAACAAAGCCGGCCCGGTTTGTTGTGACGCATTACAATGCCGATGGAAGAGCGAAACAGAATGATTCTTACCCAACATTAGTAATGAAAAAGTCAAGATGTTGCTGCAGTCGCTTCTGGCCCAGAGGGTAATCCAGCAGAAATTGCAATAAAATCTGGCTGCAAAGCTGACGAACAGGTCCCAGGTGACTCGTAACCATGAGTTGTGCTACTCTGTTCATCATATCATAGAGTTCAGGAACCAGTAGCTTACGTCCAACAATTGCCTTCAATAACGAGAGTGCCATTCTGGAACCTCCTTCCATGTCCACGAAAATTGGAAGTTGAAGTAACGTTTTTAGTTGCTCATCTGATAACCGAAGAGTCTTGCAGTGCCGAATCAGGATGATCAGAACGTTAACACATGCCACCAGGAGAGGGTTTTCTGTTTTCGAGAACCTTTGGCAGATGGAGAATATAAGAGCGGAGATTCCACTACCTTGATTGTCAATGGCTGGAAGAGGAAGCAAAAGGAGGAAGCTAAGACTTTTCAGCGACGAAGCCAACACCTCGTCATACTTTGAGTTTAAACATTCTTGCAACAAGAGGACCCAAGGGTTCAGCATACCAAGGGTGTGAGTATCCTGGAAATTGATCTTCACTCGTTTCAAGTGACTATTCAACAGCTTCAAGGCAAATTCTGTAATCAGGTAGTAATTTGGTAAAGGAGCCTTAGCAGCTTGCAAGGGGTCCTTGGAAACTGACGTAATACCAGATGAGGCATCAGCTTTCATTTGCTTCTTCACTGCAGCAGCGTGAGCAACAGCCTTCTCTTCCTTCACACCATCTTCAATGATTGCATGGACTATAACAAGTAAATCGGTTTGGCTCATAGACTTGTTGTGAAGAAAACCGAGACAGAGATGATTGAGCATGCTCTCGATCTTTGGCTTCACTTTTGGTGACAGGGACTTATGAAGGTTGCGACGAACTGGACCTAGCAAAGCTGTGGCGTGAGTTTGAAAATTCACAACCTCAGCCAGAAGTTTCAAACTCTCGTAGGATCTCATTGCTTTGGTTTCCTTCATCTTACCAGCGATGGCTTCCACATTCTTCTCCTCCGCCACTTCCCCCATAATATCATTCTCCAAGACATCCAGCAGTTGGTCGAGACAGTAATCGATCGCCCCAATTTGTACTGTTGGTAAAAGCTTCACCAATATGGAATTCAACGTGTATCCGAGAACATGTACCTCAAAGCCTTTCACGAGAGAATCTTGAAGAACTTCAACAATAAATCGCAGATAGTGAGCACCCAAGGTCTCTGTTATAGCTACCAATGCAGCCCGAGCCTCATCTCTTATAGCTTGGCTTCTAATCTTCAAAAGATTTATGATGGTTCTGACCACTTGTGGAAGTTCGACCTCGATTACATCTTGAGGCATGAGCTTCAGAATCTTGACTTGTGTGAGAGCGACTGGAGTGCTCACGATATCTCCCTTTAAAACCATCAAACGCCTGACTTCCGGTAGTATTCTCCCTCGCAAGGCTTTTAACACTTCTGGTGCTAAATGAACAGAAGTCTTCCCACTTGTCAGCTCTCTAAAGTCACTACCAGAAAATGGGACCACTTCATGTCCTTCGCTCCCCTTGGGTTCTGGCCGGCTGTCTTCATCATCTTTCGAAGATGGAAGGAAGAAGTGGAAGGTGTCGAGGATTGCACATGCGACTCTCACATAAGTCTTCTGATGTTCAGGTTTCGATCCAATCAAGCGAAAGCAGCGCATCAATAGTGCCAAATAGGGCTCCCACGGGAGCTGTGATCCAATGGTTGCTAGGGTCTCCACGGCAACGGAGACCAAATTGCCTTCCTTATCTCCTCTGGCCTCAAACAGCGAATTCATGAACAAGGGAACGAAAATTCTTGACAGTGCACCCTACAGACGAAGAAAAGCGGCAACGATGTCAAAACTGGAAGAAGCACACTACTACGCTATAAGAGAATGCCCGTTACCAACCTGTATCACAGCTGTGACAGCTCAATGAAGCAAGGTTGAAGGCTATTAACAAATTTGAATAAAGTTATGCTTTTAATTAACTGTACGAACGGCCAGACTTGCTCGTTGATCTGCTCCTTCGGTTGACGAGTTGAAATGCTAAACAGAGCCTTGAATATTTTGCGGACACGGACTTAAAAGGCATTACAAATGTGGTAATACCTGTGAAAATCGAGATCCTGTGCACAGGGTCCTAAATTTCGCCATTGCCCTCATTCTCCTGTGAACCTACACCAAAAGCGAACAGGTATAACCTTGAGTGAATAGCAAAAACACAAAACTAAGCCCAACACTCTGAAAAAAATGGCTGAATATCGAGCAATGGACCAGCAAATAGAGGATCATCACTCGTTGTTTAGACTGGTCGGAGTGTGGAAATCAGCTGTAAGGGTTGCTTGAAGGCCAAGAAACTTTACACAAGTTCACAAAAGCTTCTTTTCATTCTTGCTAAGCCGTATTATCACTTGGTATGCTTCCTACCACAATCTTGTGTTACATCAGCATCAGACTTCCCGTTTCCAGGACGAAGGTCCGTCAGATCGAAACGAAAACTATTTATGTGGGTCTTCACGACAGAAAGTCCGACAGTGATATTTTCAAAAATTGCACAAGAGATCACGTTGACATAGTCAGGAACAAAAGCTCTCTGAATAGACGGGAACAGAAACGACCAGAACATTTATACATCATGACTTGATACCCAATACCCCTTTCATATACATACAACACCAGAGTAGAGAATGACTACATTCCATGCAATATTAGTGGATTCCACAAGAAAGCATTTGGACGTTGTTATTACCTGAAGATGGACAATGTTGAAGAAAAAATCAGCCTCAACATCTTTGTTGATCAGGCCTTCGTATTCCTTCAAAGCTGGGACATCTGGGAAGTTCAATACCATCTCTCGTAGAAGTAAAACCCATTCCTGTGTATAACATATTGTCACAAACAAGAGATGTCAAAGTCATTGAAGTAAACCGTTAACTGCAATTTGCCAACATGGGACGGATCATAGATCAAAGTGAAGTTGATAGCTGGAGGCAGTGATGGGTTACAAATATAAACTACGATGACAGTCATAGTCCATACTGAGAAACAGAAAATCAACATTACAAGTACGATCCAACATAGAAAAAGCTGATAAAGTTTGCAATATACCCTTCTGACAACGAGAATTTCGGAGCTCATGGCGTTCCTCACGTGAACAAGCAAAAAGGTTGGCACCAGTGACTTCAGTGATTTGGAACTTAAGCCAGCAGCCAAAGTTTCCTGTTGAGCAATTTCTATTACTCCTGCGTCATTCTCCTCTGTGGGGGCTTCAATTTGAAGGTCATCCTTCTCCAAAAACTCTCTTGGCTCTTCTTCGGTAACCTCCTCCGAAAGAGAAGCCGCGAACCTCACAAATTCTTGCAAACAATCAGAGGCCCGATGTCTAATTGACATATCTTCTGAACCCATATCAAAAATTACAGAAGAGAGGACAAGCAAGGCTTGCAATCGAGTGATTTGAGAGAAGAACGACTTAGATATTCTGTCATACGCAGCGAGTCTCCGAGTATAGTCATACTCGTCTATATCTGTTGGAGACATGGAGTTTAGGTCTACCAAAAGCTCCGCCTGCCACAGTATCATGCACCTGGTTAATGACAACCGACACCCTGCTAAAACTCTTCTTGATGTCAATTGTTGTCTATATAAAAAGTAAACCTAAGATCAAATAAAAATATTCAATATACAGAGTAACTAGACCCCGACAATTCAGAAGCATTGCAACCATATGAACAAGATAGCTTACCACAATAAGAAGAGAATGATCGACGTTTGCAAGAGCACGAAGGGTCTGCGCCACTGCAACTCGAATACCTCGATTTGAAACCGTAACAAGTAAAGGAGACAGGACTGGAAGACACTTCTTTGAAGCGTTCACTTCCAGAGTTGGACCGATACCCTCCAGAAGGTGCAAAACGTCTAGACAAAGGCCTGGACAGGAAAAGTGCATCAAAACATTGTCAAAATGTGTAGGTTTGGAAACCATCTGCACGTGAGATAACATCTTCTTGCCAATGCCTTGGCTAGAAAACGATTCGTCCTTCGACTCTTCGACTCCTCAAACTAGTGACTCATTTAAATAGTTTGCCATTCTTAAAGGGTGATGAATATTTGAAGACTAAACCTACACCTCCAACAATACCAAGAAACATATCATAACACACCTTGGTCCATCTTCTTCTTAACCTTCAGCATAGGAAGGAGAACACCGAGCAGCTTAGCGGCCACGTCCGGATCGACGATGAACGTGCTTAAGCGAGTAAGTATTTTAAGCTCTCGCTTCAGTAATCTCCTTTCACTGAACAACATCGAATAGTTTAATCGGAGGCAACCGACAACGCGCTCCGCCTTGTTACCCAGTACATCAAGAAATATATAAACCCATACCAGACTGGTGCACTAAAGCGAAAGGGACTCTCCTTTCCAACGTATATTAGCCCTGAAATCTGCTTGAACTCATATACAGAAGTTTTCAACCGGACAAACATCTTCCATTCCCTGAAGCACACACTGCTTCCACCGTGTGTGACAGATGTCAGATGACACCCTCAACTTATAGAGCGGTTGACTAGGTGCAAGCTAGCCTTATGCAATCTATATAAGCACATCATATTGGACTCATAAGGAAGTGCAGTACAAGGGGTTAATATAAGAAGAATCTAATCATGCAGAATGCATTACACACCTTGTGCTTTCACGGTGGAAAGTAAGACAGTCTCGAAAGGTAGAGAGCAGGATAGACAAATGGGGAGTGAGAATTCCCCGCACAGCTTCGACTCTGTGGTCTTCAAAACCTGTTTTCAAGAGATCAAGAATGTTCTCCACAAAGGACAAGACCGCTGAAATCACCGGTGAAGAAGCCCCCCTCACAGAAAGTACTGAGAGCAAGTTTGGAACCAGCATTGGATTTTTACTCAGTAAAGGAGCAAGGTCCATCCTCTGACTCATCAAAATAAAACATTGCATAAGGGCACCAGGAGATGTACTACTGCTGTTTTCGTCAACGAAACGATCAACAGACTGCCGTATCGCGCTGAAGAATATGTCCCAGTAAACAGAGTTGAAAACTATATTCTCACACTTTTTCACCACGGACGCGATCACCTTCAAGCACAATGATTTGATTTCTCGAACCCCACTCTTCCCCTTCGCCGTGACGACCTCAGCAATGTCCAGAGCATCATCCCCTTGCTCCTCTTCCGCATCTTTTACTACCCTGTCTCCATCTTGGTCTATCATTTCAGAATCTTTATCTAGAAAGACGTGTGGATCGTCATTGGACATCTCTATATCATGTTCAGAATCCACTTGGCCTGAATTATGATTCAGCCCTTCCGCTCCAAGACTTTCAGTCTCAACATTCATCTTTAAACCATGGGCACTATTCTCCTCTGCACGTGTATCGAGGGCACATGCCTCCATGAGCCGCAGAACTATTGCTAGAAGAGCATGTATGTAAGGCCGAAGTTGTTCTACGTTGAAGATATCAAGTGAAGACAATACCATGTGTAAAAATCCCAGTTTTCTTTTGTGAGGTGGCTTGGCCACAGCTGAAGTGTTCACTTGTTCAATAAAGTGACTGTCGGCACCTTCTTCCAACATAATTATCCAAGAACTGTTTGAGGCATTTGCCACGGACTTATCTGATGAGAGAGCACTTTGAAGAGGTTTGATGAGCTGACAGAATAAAGGGGCCAACTCGTTGGGTTCAAGACGAGCTAAGAACGAGAGCACTGCATTTCTTTGGACGCCCACACCTGACTGTAGACAATAAAGAGGAATGTGTTATAACTAGTTAGTGGCGAACTTAACAGTCATGTTGAGACTAGGATATGCTTTGTAATACAGAAAACGTGTACCCATTGGCATTTTCCAGTCACATCCTGAAGACAGACTAATTCGTAACCCAAAAACACCATACAAACAGCACAATAGATTGTAAAGCAGACTTGGCACAACCGCGTTTTGTATTGAGGACAGTACCTTCCCCAGGGATTTCACAGTTCGCCTCATTATTCTTGGAAACAGTAGCATGAGAACAACAGTCAGCAGTGGTTGTCTATCTTCATCCTTGATCTCGTGGCTTTCTTTACCGACATTCCACGTAGTCAACTCTTCACGAATCGCCTTGCTTGAGACGATATTCTTAAGGTGCGACTCATAAGAGGTCAAATAATTGTCTTTCCAATTCAGCAAGCAGTCGAGGGTAACTTCTTGAATGGTTGGGTCACTGTCCCCCAAAAATCTATAGGAAAAATGGCAGGCAGGAGAAGTCGCAACTCAGATTTACCACATCCTGAACTCTGTAAGACGCCTAGTCGACAAGAAAGTCCTACTCAAAAACGTAGATGCTTGATGACAAAAACTTCAACCATGTCACAAACCTGTTGAGCAGTATCTCCTTCAGGGCTAGACCAGAATAAAAAGCTCGAGCATTTTTCATCTCTCTTATCAGATTCAACCATTCCTTCAAAGCTGGTTTCCAATCGCTTCCCTTACCCACATTCGATTCTCGCCTGAATGTACGAATAATATAGATTAAAAAGGGAAAAGATTCTTACACCTTTCGATAGGACTGATGAAGATGATCAAGATAACGTAACCAACAGCAAATATGCGTGAATCCATTTCCGCCAGGCAAGCGGCAAGAGAAGCCAGACTAAGACCTCAGCACATTTGTATGTTAGATAACATTGAAGAGTTACCAATCAGGAAAAAGTTCCTCACCTCTCTTCTGCCGATTGATCATGACCAACAAACGCAAGGAACATTGGAACCAACTGCCTGGAACGAGATTCTGCAATCTTAGGAACTTTTTGCAAAGTTTTGAGTTGCAGATTGAGCAGAGTTCCAGTGTGGGTGATTTCTTCCTTCTTCAACATGCACGAATCAAATCGGCTCCAGACATCTACATACTCACATTAGGGCCAGGGCTGATTTCGTAAGCTTCGAAGAGCTAAGACATCCAAAGGTACTGCATTCTTCCTACTAACTCTAAGACACATATCGACCCTTGTGGCCATCTTCCTCTGCTTCACAGAAAATAAAGTTGAAAGCCTGATAGAAGGAAAAGCTTAACTCTAGCCTTTAATCAGGCTAGAGTTTGAAGCTCTTTAAAATTGCGTGAGATTGAACACTTACCTACGGATGACATCTCCGTTTCTTCGACTGTGCTTCCTTTCGCTTCACTGGTATTCTTGTACAAAAGAATGTTCTGAGTGGTCTCGAGTAGATGCAATATGTATTCCAGTACAGTAATTCCATGTGCTTCCAACATCCCAGCCAAAGTTTCGATAACTGGATCCCAAAGAGAGGCAAAGCGGTTGTAAAGCAAGCCACTGAGAGCTTTCGCCACCGGAAGGATGTAAAAAGTGGGCATTCTTCCACTGCAGGCCTCAACTTTGATTGCTGATATCACCAAGGTGCTCTTTCGGCAGTTCTCAACCGAAAGGGAAGTACTTTCTACTGTTAAAAGTTGTCTGAAAATCTGCAGAGTGAACCAACGGCTACTTCATTGCCATGACAAACTTCGAGATCTATTGAAATCGCACATGGTCAACCGCACAAGTCTAGCCATGGGAGGGAAAATACCAATAAGATATAAAAAACCGGTAAAAGATTCCAAAGACATCTGACGAGAAAAGTCTGATCTTGACAAATGAAAGCATGTCGAGTTCTCGAATAAAAGTTCTAGCTTGGCTAAAAGTTTTATAACCCAGAAGCCAACACAAGGCCATAACACGAAAAGAAGAGTAAGAGGGAAGACCTTTGGGTGCACACGGATGGGGATGGGGTACGCACTCGACAAGTAACACAAGCCGATGGTGATACTAGAAAAAAAACTAAACGCATTTCACAAAACCATTTCGCAAACAAGCAGAGTACCCACAGTCACGACTTGTACCAAGATGCGAGTATAGTAACTCACTTGACTAGAACTAGAGGGGTCCATTTCATTCCTCTGTCCATCCAAGCGCTTTCGCCGTTTGGCTGGAGCTTGATCTGTTTCACTCCCTGGTGAACCAAAGGGTTCATGAAAGGCAAGGATCCGCAGAGTGGCGATCCTCAAATCCTTGTGAGAATCGCACAGGTTTGACGCAAAATCTCCAAGGAGGACCGACATATCCGTACGCTTGTATTCTGGCGCTTGCTCTCTGTAAACCGCAGCAACTCTGATTATTCAATCTAAGATATCCGATACATCTATCAATAGCAAGTGACACTCGCCCCGTTGTTCTAGTGAACACGTACACAATGGTCCAAATACAGATCACGCACACCAGTCCAATATGCAGGACGAGGAAGAACATAGTGCAAAAATACGACCTGGACACCTGATTTAGCAAAAAGTCGACCTGTACTTCGTACATCTTAAAAACCACACAAATTATTTAGTGGATAAAACTAAGGGCAAGATTGTTAGATGTTTCAAAAAATCCTTACATGTTTGATGCTTCCAGAAGATCAGCCACAGCAGTCAACACATCGGAGGACTTCTTGTACTTGACAGCCAGTTCAAGATACTGCGTAGCGTGGTGAGATAACACCCGAGAATCCCCCGAAGAGACTATACGGAGGTGCGCACAGAGAGCAGTTGCGAGCAAAAACTCCCAAACTTTGTTTGTAATATCTGAGTCCTCACTGGTATCCGCATCTACAGATATTTCAAGGAAAATTGCGTTATTTGGCATCTCTGAAGTCAAAGAAACTTACAAGACAAATCCTACCATTCTTCTGTGGTGGGCCCAAAAAAAAAGTATTCAAAGCAGCGTTCCCACTCCGGAATATGTGGTTACCTTCATTTGACCAGAATTTCTAAGGTATACAGCCATGTCCGTGCCACAAGACAGGTCTATAGGTTTCAAGAACGAACCTAAGCTAGATTGCTTACCTTGCTAGCAAAATAAGATCATCCTCTCACCTGACACCAGAAAATTGTCGACGGCAGTCACGTACTCCCATGCGAGAGATCGGTGTTCTTCACCGGATCCAATTATCCACGGTAGACATTGCAATGCCACCCATACCATAGCTGGATCTATGGCAGGAGACTCGTCGCCATCACTTTGCTCGGCCGTACTATGCTTCAGTTTTAGGGCAGTTATGGCTTCCTGTATCAGGTTTATTACAAAAATTTTGAGCCTTGCAGATTCAGGTCCCAGATATGACTTCAAGTCCAACCTTTGACTTAAGTCCAACAATAGAAGAAGTACATCAGCTGGATACTCCTCGACCAGCCGATCCAAAGTTCTGCAGAAAAACAAGAAGAATCAAGACAGATACAAATGAGAATACAAGTACACGTGGCAGAACCCAAACATTTGTCATCACAGGAGAAAAGGAGAAAGCACTAAAATCATAACATCACATAAAACATGACAATTTCAAAAACATGAGGTACTGTAAAGTGCTCAGCGATCATCCTGAGTAGCAATTCTTGATACGGACCTCAGTACGTAAGGAGCAAACGTCTGAAGGAGCATAACATCGAGCTGTATGAGACCTCTTAGAAATGGGAACAAGCTGCATACACGAGTAAGACGGTACTATCAAAACAGTATTTCAAGCCACACTCCAGAGAAATTTCGAAAGTGATATTGGACGACTCAAACAAAAACGCGGAGCGAAGTAAATGGCAAAAAGGATGGCAAGACCACATCAAGCCTTACAAGGATGAAACCAAACGGTTACTAGGAGGAACTAGGCCCCAGAAGTAACGCTGAAACTCAATGATTGTAAGCAAATAAAAAGTTGAAAACTTGGTTCAGAAATGTCATACCAGTTCACTCTCTTACATTCAAAAGCAAGAATCCACTTGGGAGCAACTCTTACTATAACGCCTGGACCACCACTTGCTCCGGCCACTTGTCCGTGACTCTTAGCCAAAGCAAGAAGAAAGCGCAGAACCTCGGACACATAGTTCGCTGTTGGATCACGGAACAACTTGGTGGGAGCGACCGGACCAGCCAAACACTGCACTGAGTCCAGAGGCTCGCTCAAAATAGCTTCAGGTCGTAAAAGATCTGGAACAAAAGAAAACAACGGCCCGTAGTCTGCAGTCACAACGGCATTATTGCAATTAGTAAATGTGCAGAAAAATAACAGTGCATGTGGCACACCTACCATCTTTACCCGATGCACAGTCGAGAACAAAGAAGCTGCCGTCAGAACTTGAACCACGCTATAAACAAGCTGTCCTCGCAACTATCAACTTTTAGCATTACTCGATCTTGACAAAATTTTGAACAAACGTCCAGAAGTTCCCACAAGACAACAAGACAAGCTACCTGCTCGTGTTAACAAGACCAGGCCCGACCGTAACTAAATGAGACTAAACAGCAAGCAGATCATAACTAATGCACGCAGGATATCTTCGATGGTAATTCAGACATATCTGTAAATATATTTGCGACTCAACCATCTTGTTCGCTACCAGACCTAGGAAATGGTAGGCAGGACGTCAGGCTACTGACCGTTCACACGGCTCCCCTTCGCATATTCAAGGACAGTATTCAGCAACTTCAGAAGATGAACAAGGTGGATTTGGGAGTAATCTGTGTTGCCATCGTCCTTTTGCAGAGATGGAATAGCTTCTGCCTCAATATCTTCCGGTTTGAGCGCGGTGCCGTGTTGCTCCTTCAAGCTTTCCTCCATACTACTTTTGGTTTTTCCAGATGAATCCACAGCCCGCTGCGTGGAATGAGAGACTCCGTTACTCTCACTCCTTTCTGGCAAAACAAAAGCTTTTTCCCCTCCAGATTCCATCTTGGGGGCTCCTTCATTGCGACTAACGGCCAGCTCTTGAGAGATATTTCCAAGAAGACACTCCCAGAGAAGTTCGATTTTGTCTCGCTTGACATCCTCACATAACATGAGAAACGTTCTGGCCACAATATCGACAGCCACCTCCCCTGTCTCTTCTGCAGCCAGGAGGAAGAAAAGCCAGACGATGATTTCAAGCAAGTACACTGATCAAAAAACCGCAAGCTCTTCTTCCTTCAAATTAATTGGAATATATGCTTTAAAAACGCGAGGCAAAACGAAAAGAAAATCAGAAACTTCTCAGTCGAATCTGTAAACAGACCGTTGTATCTCTTGCGACCTCCGGAAAGAATGGATCGATCAAGGAGCAGTTGTAAGAAGGACTCTGCTTGAGAATGAAGACCAGAAGAAGGCCCTCTCAACGTGTTGTACAACAAAGAACAACAGCTTGAAATCTTTGACTCACAACGATCAGTCTCCACCTCTATAAAGAGTCGTCGTACACCTGGTTAGCAGAATCAGCCAAATTTAAGAAACTTTGCAAATGTACAAATGGGTACTTTTGTAAACCCAAAAACATCGAAGGCAACAATATTACTTTCTATTAAAAAACAACTAGTACAGCGTACCTTTTATCAACTGCTTAGGGGGAGCTTTGCGCAGCAGAAAAGAGACTGACTCAGCAACAAAATCCTGTACATATGATCGGTGGTAGAATCTCAAGCTCTTTGTCACCCTTCAAGACCCCACCAAGGGAATTAAAAAAAAATATTAAAACAATTACAAGTCTATGACGATCCAAGAAAACAGAAGGCGGCGATACGAGCAAGACAATGTAGACAGAGCAGCAGCTTCATGTCGATCGGCTGTTCAACATGCAATACAACCTCCACTGCACTAGGAGCACGATATAACCACAAACCTGACAACAGCAAAAAGGTTCTCTGCAAAGTAACCAACCTGAGAACCAGTAAGGTGTCTTTCGTAAGGTATTTAACCAGATACTTGATAATATACGAGATTGACACGAACACCTGCAATTGCCGCATGAAGTACTAAGGCTATTAGACTGAACTGATTCAGCCAGATAGGGCAAGAGAAACAAGAGAGTGAACAAGAGCAGTCGAGGAGTGAACACGAATAAAAAAAACCAGCTGCATCTTCATGAGGATAAATCGAATCATGATCAACTCATTATAATCGCTGCGTGCCAGTCAACAAGCTTTCTGCCTTTCTTCTTCCTACCTGTTCAAGCAGCTCAGGCTCTTGATCACCTCCTGTCTTCAGAAGCTCCGCGCAAGTGTCGAAGAATTTTGCTAGATACCTGCGATTTGTGAACAAAAATCAGCCTCTCGCAATGTCCACATTCACATTCAGAAGTGCAATCCAGTTGAATTCCAGAAGTGAATAGGTGACTCAAATCCTTGGAGTCAACTAGTCTTGTCAGCAATTTTCAAAACATCAACAAAGATGCAAAGGAGTTGAGGTTTGAAAGTAGGACTGATCTTTCGCTTGTTTCCAATCCACTACAGCAAAAAATATACCATTTTCAAAGCTCCAATTTACTCAGCAATTACAAGCCCAGACATATCATTTAAAATAACTAGCCTTCTACCGGAAGAAGATACTCACGGAATGAATTCTCCTTGCAGATCCCGTGATAATAGAGCAATCAAGCTGCATGACGAAGCACGAGTCAAGTCAGAAGCTGAGCGTCCAGATTTCATCTTCTCCATAGCATTGCCCATGGGAACTTCCATGTGAGATGCCAGGATAACAGTCAGTTCCTTACCTCAAGATAGGTTCGAGAGAAAGCATCGCTGACAGGCGTACTCGTGAGAGTAAAGAATTCATTATGAGATCCTTGTGAAGTAGTAACTGCGGCAGTGTCTGAACCAGCGGTAGAAGTTCGTGATACACATCGTTGAACTCCGCGGCACAATTCAGTTCCTGGAGCCATACGATTTGAAAATTCAGGCAATGCGGATCACTCATTTTGAACTGATGAGTAGGCCAGTTCCAAAAGGCCGATTCAATCACCGCTACCAAGGACTTGCATTTATTACAGTGTGAATTCAGAGATATTTACCCGCCATCGTACGAGATTTTCGTGGAAGAATGATGACCCACTACTCGGCTCAAATTTGACAGGAGTTAGACTCCGAAAAACATCAACATCGACTTCCTCCACTCGCTGGGAGAAATTCTTGAACTGCAAAGGAAATAATACGTAAACTTCAGAATAATAAGTCCCACATGCTCAGCTCCAGCTTTCTTTCGGAAAAACCTTTTAATGGAATCCAGTATTTTATCTTCATAGTTTCAAATCAGCTTTGGAGTTCGAAGTGTGTGATATTAAAATTGTGACTTTTGACTGAATTTGCAACTATTGTTCACACGCACCACAAAACGTTTTGGGCCAGGACCCTTATTCAGACTTTTGATAGCACGCGAAGGTGCCATGGCGTGAAGCAGCTGAATGACCCCGCTTGCACAATTCACGCTTTCCCGGCTGTCACTTGTTCCTCAGTCCTCGCTCTCGGAGCGACATTGCTGGTACCTCTGTGCCCCAATTTCCAGAGAGAACTGCCTTCGAGCTCAAAGACAGTGTTCCAGCTGAACGGGCCGTGAATACATGTGTCATCCAGCTGGAAATAACCCGTCAATTTCATATCCCACTCCTTCGAATTGCTAAATTATTCACCAATCTCAAGCTCACTTTTAAAGCTCAAAGCTCGAGTTGGAATTGCAGTCTGCCACGCTAAACCCTAAACGCTTAAACCTCTGCGTGGGCTCCAGTCACTTGGAAGAGCATTTTTCGTCTGCTGAATTACAAGCTATATCACTGCTTAGGGTTTAGCGGGCCTGTATCTGACCCGACATCCAAACCTTACGCGGTTGATATCAACTTGGAAACAAACCTTACGCGGTTGATATCAACTTGGAAACAAACCTTACGCAGTTGATATCAACTCCGTCGACTAAGTTGTAAGCCATGCAAGCACGAATGCCACCAATCCAGAATGCATCAGCGAAAAGAGAGCGGAAAGAGATCATGAGGAAAGAAAGAAAACGAAACGGGTCAAGTAAATACCAAAGAGTAACATCCATTCAACCCACACCGAAGAAATATATATTGAGAAGGAATTCATTCGTCCGATTAGCGCGGCAATTTAAACTAGAACTTTTATTGCATCAATTATAAATATGTTTTTGGTTGATGTGTAGTGTAAGTGTGGAACATTGGATTTTTTGTTGGTCAAGATACGGAATGTAAATAACTTCATGCTTGTATTTCAGATTCAAATAAAACTGGTAAATAACACAAGTTCTAACCGTTGCAATTGAGTTGTTGCGTGAACATGCTTTGATTTTATGGTGTGATTATTCGGATCTTGGTAGGTGGAATTATTACAGTATAAACTTCTAAATATCTTGTTTTAGATTCACAATCTAGATTTGTGATCTTTATGTCAGGCCTCATAAGGCCGGGGCATAATACAGACGTTAGCTTAAAATATGGATTCAACTCTTCTTAATTTTTGGATTTGTCAAGAAATAGAATCCATGGTCACGTTATCAATCAACATTAATTTGAGGGGGTATACGAATAAGGGGTATTCTAATCTTATGTGTGGCAAATGCCACGAGGCATAATACTACTTGTGACAAAGGCAAAATTGTGATCATGACGTTTTTAATTTATCAATGCCACAAGATTTAATTTTGGTTAATTCTAGGATTTTGTTAACATATTTCAGAATTTAGTAGTACTGTTTTTTATTCATTGAAGTTAATTTAGTTCCAATAAGAGTGATTGAAAAGTGCGTCTAAATTTATTGTCTTTATAGTGAAAGAGAGTGTGTGTTTAGATTTGTGATCTTCATGTCCATGAAAACCTGATTAGAATGAGTAATTAGATTTGTGTTCTTCATTCAAACTTTGTTTTAAGTTAAATGTATATTATGATTATTTTTTTAGTAAACTTTAGTACATTTTTATCACAATCTTGTTCAAGTTTTGCAATGCTTGATTCCTATACCAAGATTTGAATTCAATATTTTTTGGATGAAACGCGATTGTTATAATCAATTAGATCACAACGAAAGATGCAACTCACAGCAATAATTGTAAATTGGTTGCATATTCTATTGAGATTATTCTTTGTTTCTAACAATAACTTGAATTAACTAACTATACAAAATTTATGTCTAACTTAATGCCAAGAAAGATGTTAAAGTGTGAGTTCAATATTATGATCTTTAAAGTTGAGTGTGCATCTAGATATGTGATCTTCATGCTCATGGAAGTTAAATTAATGCCAAAAATAGTGGTTAAAATGAGAATCTAAATTTGTTGTTTTCACACTTAGAATATGAGTCCAATTTTGTGATATTCACAATTAGATTGTGCGTCCAAATTTAATTTTTTTTCATAGCCATAAAAATTAATTTAGTGCCGAGATTAGTGAATAGATACATCGTCTAAATTTATTATCTTCACAGGTAGTTACAGTGTGTGTCTACATTTCTGATCTCTATGATCATTTAAGCATGATTAAAATGCATTATTGAATTTGTGTTCTTCATAGTCATGAAATTCTGTTTTAAGTTAAATATATATTGTATTGTTCAACAAAAAAAAACATTGCAAAACTTTATCATGATACTCACAAAATTTTGATTTTACAAGATATTGTTAAAATTTTGCAATGCTTGATTTCGTTGCCAGGATATGAAATTTTATCTTTCGGATGGAACACGAGCGTTTTAACCAGCAAGATCACTACGGAAGATGCAACTGAAATTAACAGTTGGAAATTTGTTGCATCATTTATTATGATTATTCTTTGATTTTAATAAATAACATGCATAAACTCACGATACGAAATCTAAATCTAACTTAATGCAGCAAAGTATTAAGTGTGTGACTAAATTTGTTATCTTCACAATTAGAATGTGCTTCTACATTTATTATCTTCGTTGCCATGGAATTTAACTTAATGCCGAAAATAGTGGTTATAATCAATGTCTTAATTTGTTGTCTTCACAGGGAGAGTGTCTTTCTGGATTTATGGTCTTTATGTTCATGGAAACTTGATTAAAGTGCATTATTATATTTGTGTTCTTCGTAGTTATGAACTATTGAATTAAGTTAAATGTACATTATAATTTTTAAAATATAAACGTAGTGAAACTTTAGCACAATCTTGACAAGATTTTGATTTTATCAAGATCTTGTTATAGTTATGCACTGCTTGATTCTGTTGTCAAGATTTGAATCCAAGTGTCTCGGATGAAACGCGAGTGTCTTAATCAACTAGATTACAACGTAAAATGCAACTCCAATTAAAATTTATAATTTTATTGCAAACTCTATAATGAATATTTTTTATTGAAAAATAACTTGGAAGAAATCACAATACGAGATCTAAACCTTACTTAGTGACGAGAAGAATGTTTAAATTGTGTTACTAAATTTGTGATTTTTGCAATTAAAAATTAATATATGTGAACATGATTACAGTGCGTAATTAGATTTTTTTTCTTAAGATAATCATAATTACGAACTATTTTTATTTTTAATTCTACAATATCTTGTTGTACGTCATAACTCTGATTTTATTTTGATCACATATTATAAAATGTTATTTCTTTTTTGATATTTTAATTTTAATTCAGTTCATCTCAATACTTATACAATTCAATTCATAGTTTTCAAAATTTATACATAATATAATATATATCATGAATTTTTTGAACGAGTAATTTTTAAAATTATCTGATTTACCTTAATATTAAAAATGATATGGTATTCATAACAACTTTGATACAAGCTTCTTAAAAAGTTAATGGAAAATGTCAAATTGTTTGTATATGTTCAACTTTGAGTCAATTTGATGATTTTTAAATTGATTGCAAAATTGAAATATAAAAAGAAATATATTAAATGTTTAAATATATAATTCAAAATATTAATAATGATAATCATGAATGGAAAATTATTATTTTTCCATATATATTATGTTTCACTTTTATTGTAAAAAATATTAATTTTCTTATTAGATGTTGGCTTCTTTCTTAAATTCAGATACGAAATTATGTAGTAAAGTAAAATTGACATTTATGTCATTAATAAATATCTGTAAGAATGAAAAAATTCTAAAATGCACTTAAACTAATTATGATATATGATTTTAGTATACATCTATAAGTAATTATGAATATTTTAATTTAACATGCAACATGTAAATATCATGTTAATTAAATTTGCTGTTTATTTCACTTGTATATCAATTATATTATAATTTTATTGAAAAAAACTATTTTAATAAAAAAATAATAAAAAAATCTAAAGAAATCCATTATGTCATAATAAAATATGGTCATATTTTTTAGTTAGATGAAATATCATAGATTTCAGTATGCTGGTTATAAATCATACATGTGAAATAATTTGATTTAATAACAAAAATCTAACTTGCCATTTATATTTATATAAGTACCTACACAAATTTGGACACACTATCAAAAAATGTGTTAATATTTATCATGATAGTCATTGAGAAACTTTAATTTTTCAGTGAATTGTGTAACATGATTTAAATTATGTAAATTTAAAACATTATGATATTTATAATTAGATATGAGACTAATTAGATATAATGAAGTGAATATTTGACATTTAATGTTGTTGATATCAATTTTCATAAAATACATAATATTTTATTACTTGAAAGCGATGTCACCTCAAGAGAGAATGAACTTTGTAGTAATGGACATAGTTCAATTGCTACAAAATATACCTTTGTTGTTTCAAATAGTATTTATTTTTCTTCAAGACTGTTGAACAAATAAACAACTATCATTACTAGTATACAGTTTGAATGTTCAAATTTATGAAGTCGATGACACACTCACAATAAGCACGTGACACACATGAGGTTTTGAAAGCGATCAAGCGGATGAGTGTCATTGATTGATATTTTGAAAATTCAAAAGTTTTATTCCTTGGAGGCTTTTGTGTAAGAGATAATCAATATTCATATATTGAATATTTAGAAACTTTGTATCACGACTGACTTACAATTAATAGGTATGAGAGGAGTATGAAACATAATATGTACTCGGATGAAAAGCACTGCATTTTTTCTTAAAGGCCAAGTCATCCGTATATCAGTTCGTTAGGTTTTTCTTTCCTACAGTTACAAGGTGGATTGTGTTAGCCAGCTAAGCAATATAGGTTGGATCTTGCGGATACACCTGGGCTGTCAAGAGGTCATGCAAAACAAATGACCACATGATATACTTCTCACAATGGTACCATAACATTTGACTAGAATGTACCACTTGGTTGCTGAGATTGTGCTATGTGTTGTGACATGATCATACTCTTTCTCAGCTCATTAAGGCTTCACTTTGCGCAAGTAGACTCCCTACGCTAATTACTACAATAGAAAGCCAAAAACCCTAATCTTTCCGTCCATGTGCATGTACCACGACTAAAGTAAGGTTAATGAGAATGAAAGTAGAATGAATCATTGTATGTACATGGATGACAAGGACCAAATATTTTCTTGAATAACAAAGTCATACATTCATCAATTCCTTGGGTTTCTCCTTCCTGCTGTTTCAAGATGGGTTGTAATATCAGTTCAGCGAGATATGTTGGATCTAGCCGCCACATATGGCTTGTCAATAGATCTTGTAGACCAAATGAACATCCAGAGAACAAACCCTTCACGTAATCCGATATGACTTTCACAATGGTCTCGTAATGTTTGGCTCGTAATACATTATGA